TTTTTTTTTTTTTTTTTAAACAGGTCCTGATGGTCCTGCCTCCATATCCATTCTGGGAAGCGTCAGTCCAGTTCCTATTCCCCCGGCAAGTCAAGAATGTTATATAAATTCACTAAAATACTCAAAAATAGTAAAAAATACAAAATACTTGAAATACAAAAAAAAATAGTACCTCCTGGATCACAATTACTGTTGATTGTCCCTGCGTGTTTTTTTTCCTTACCCGTTCTTCTCCTCCGGAGGAAAGTCTGAATTTCCAATTTCCAATTTCAAAATTCAAAATTCAAACTGATATTGTTAAGTAACTTAATAATAAGTTAATATATTATGTGATATAAGTTCATCATATAACTATTGCATGTGGAGGGTTGTGGGACTTGCTTATGGTGAGGGTGCCCAGTAAACACAGGCGGAGTATTGCAGTAGATGCTTACACTGGGGCTTTCTTAGACGCATCTGATCGCAATTACAGACCGAATTCGTACTAAATTGTGCATCTGTGAGAGTATGCTCTCAGTGTCAGGGTCGGTTCTTGTGGGCACTCGATGATTGGTAGGTCTGCAAACGAGTAGTTAACCCCGTGCGAGTTACTGCAAAAGTTGTGGGTACAACTCTTAACCCGCCCGCATGAAGTCCGGTCAAGCAATCTCAAGTTCTCAACCATGGACGAGGACGCAGGATCAGCGGCTTCAAGATCATGGGCTTCAGGACTGAGGATCAAGCCTCGCCGGGGACTGAAGCTTTCCCGGTCGCATGCACCTTATGGACTAAATAAAATGCACACTGCGCTCTGCGGTTAATAACTTAAATAGTGTTAAGTTCTATTGACTGGTTTTTCGCATCCTAGGACCGAAGAATTGGACTCGGGAAAGCTATAACAACAATTGCCTGAATGTGCAGATTGCAGTTGAGCATCAAGGGGCTGGAGGAGGTAGTTTTGCTACTTAACTGACATTTTTTAGGGAATGGCAACGATCACCGGGAACTGGCTGGTTAAGTTTGGCTCCAAGATTATCGCAGTTGGCCGCAACTATGCAGCCCATGCAAAGGAGCTTGGAAACGAGGTGCCCAAGGTATAAGCTTGCTGCATTTTTGCCACATCCAACTCCCATCTCTCTCTCTCTCTCTCTCTCTCTCTCTCTCTCTCTCTCTCTCTCTCTCTCTCTCTCTCTCTCTCTCATTTTTGCCAGATCCAACTCC